TTCATACACAAACTCTTAACTCAGGAGTTAAATTATTTATTTTTTAAAATATAAATCCAACCAGCACACCTTATGACTTAATTTCTTTCTGCTCCACAGGTTTTAGACGCTGTTTAATGACAAGCTCTCCCTTGCTCGTAAGAAAGGTGTCCGACATTTCCTCTTCTGTTGGCAATCCATAAGGTAGTTTCAGTGGCTGTATTCTACAGGCAAAAGAGTTTGCTCAGTGAAGTCTTATGACTAGAAGAGAGTTACATTAAGTGTTCCAAATTAAACAAACAGTTAACAAACCTTATCAGATGTTTAATAACTTTCAGTTTTGAATTCACAGAAGGGATATTTTTGTGCAGTCTTGGCTGATGTGCCTATATAAAGGATAGAAGAGGTTTTACAAATGCATTGCCAAAACCCAAAACTCTGTTCACTGAACTTTTCACACTATCAGTAAAAATATTAAACCACATTTGCAAATATAAGATTTAGAGAAATGTCATGCATCAAGAACATACATAAAAATATGAAATCAAAACTTGATCAAATTCGATTCCAGTAAAATGACAAATCCAGCTTTATTCCCATTACATTATCAATATATTCAAATGTCTTCCAACTGTTAAAACGATTAAAAATGTAAATACAGGAGTTTAAGGGTAAGACTGCTTGCTTCAGTTAGATCTGAAATTGATCAAGCACACATTTTTTTTCTCTGTAATATGCCACTGACTAGATGAATCTTTGCACAGTGTGCAATTGGCCTAAAAAATCTGGATAAACATCTTTGACACAAATTCTTAGAGTCTTGGATTTGGAAGCCTTTTCATTAATAAACTAGTCTTATTTGCCTACCTGCAATATCTGAATAATATCAGCCACAGAGAAAACTGAATTAAGAGTATTTACAAATCTATCTTCATTTTAGCAGAATTCTCAAGGTAAAGTTCTCCTCAGGCATGCAGAGCAATACCATACAGTGATATTCTGAATTCCCACTAAAAGGGCATTTGCCATTAATGTTCCTTTCAGCTCTTAAACACATCATCAATTTCTCAATTACATTTCTAGCAGCTGTAAAGGAATCCAAGTTTTGTCACTACAAAACTGAGGTCCTTAAAAAACCCCACCACCTTAATTCTACCCTATGTTTCTACATTTCTGATGTACACAATAAGTATAAAGAAAAACAATCATACTTTATCCAGTCCAAGATCATGTACTATCTTCTTTTCCCAATATGGGCGACCAACCACACTTTTTATTCTAGTAATAACATGGATTTTGTGGGGCTGCTCAGGGTCACCTCCATACTTTTCATGATCTCCAGGCCGTGGCTGAAAAACCTAGAATAAGAAGTTCACAAAACGGGTTTCTCCCCAAATATCTGAATTACTATTATTACAGTTAACAAAATAACTCTCTAAAACATACTTCAACACTGGTAAAAATTCTTACATGTTTAACTACCTTTCTTTTCAGAAGGTCAAAGCATCAACAAGTGACCTCAAATTTAGCTTTTATAACATTGTCAAACATTTTTATAATGGTTTGCTGACGAATACATTAACTCTTGAGTTTGGCCATACAACTGCATAGAAATACATGGACAACACTCTATACCAGCACCGCACTTAATTCACATGCATCTCATTGAAGAAGCTCTGCTTAGCCTCTGAACGGTTTAAGGCTTTAAGAATTATTTTAAGAAAAAGAGTCAACTGACATAGACGGTATCTTGCAGAAAGATAAGCTAAAAATGTAAATGTACAATGTAAGTCAAACTTCTCACCTCTTTGGTTTTAGTTATTTACTGAATAGACTAGACTATTTCAGTTGGAAGGGACTTACAAGGATCATCTAGTCCAA